AAAACATCACCTCCATGTGGGTGGCCCACCACAGCCACCACAATAACCATGGCTGCTGCAAAAGCGGCTAGACACCACAACCACCACACAGATGGTCCACCAACCACTGGAGTGCATTGACACATGGAGAGTCACCAGCAGAGATAAAGAAAAGGAGAGGATGTCTCTCTCCACAAAACCCATTCCAGAGTGACAGAAGAAGCAGCTGCTCTATGATAATATTGGGGGACCTGAACACATCTCTCAGCATTGAACAGATCTAGGCAACAAATCAACAGAGTAACCATTACTCTTTCAGAAGGAGAGGAGAAATCTAGGGTAATTAGAGGGGGGAGAAGAGAGGGAGTGGGGGATAGGGAGAGATTGGACAAGGGGCATAAAGAATAATTATGATTTGTAACAATATATATGCTAGTAATATTGATATTGAGCAACATATCTCAATGTTGAACCCCAAAATATGTATAACCAATTTGATTCAATAAACAAAATAAATTTTTAAAAAACCAACCAGCCACAGAGCAGTGAGAGCAGACTGAATTTAAAGCAAATAAAAATTGAACTAAATAGAATTCTACAATAAAAAAATAAAGAAATACATAGCTTCCAGTGAAGAAAGAAAGTGAAAAAAGAAAGAGAAGCACCCTTTGACAATTAGAGGATGGAAGAGAAAAGAAGCAAAAGAGGAAAATTTAGAGTCCTGTCAGTCAAATGAGAACTGTAAAATTGGAGCACTTACAATCCCTCCCCACTAACAAAAGAAACCAACAAAAAACCCTCTAAAGTACTTGAACTTTGTTCTGTTGACAGAAGAGATCTCAGCCATGAAGCGTGAAAATGTAAATAACAGATACGAGTATTAAGGAAGAACCAAATTTGTCATTATTTGCAGATGATATGATCATGTATGGGGAAAATACAAAATAAGCTACAGATAAGTTAGAATTAATAAGATAATTCCGTTCCACTTCCAGCTATGGGTGGATTGGCTTGAAACAGAAAGTTCTTCTCATCAAGAACAATTAGAAAAGCTGGATTTAAAAAACAAAAAACAAACCCCAAAGCTGTTTGAAAGACTGGAGAACTACTAAAGTAAGATGACTTACAGGATCAAGATCCTAGAGCCAAGGGAGTTGAGAGGTGAACATGACAGTCAGTAAAAGTTTTACCTTGAAGCATTTGTTGATTCATAAGTGGTGGCTAAGAGGTACACACACTTACCAGCAGAGAAGGTGGCCAAGAGGCGGAGAACCCAAACAGAAGTTTTGGCAGCATCACTGGGTGGGGGAAAATATGAGTTCAGAACCTCAAAGGAAGGGGGCACTGGTAAACAGGTTTTCAGTTAGGAAACTTGGATGGCTACACATTAGAAGTAAGGGCTAGCCAGAAATAGATCAATTTTAACAAATATAGAACCCTGCTTGGTGTTATTTCCCCCATATTTGATTAAACTGATCCACTTCTACCTGAACTGCCTGCAAGAAGCAGCAGTAAACTCTCTCTGGAGGAAGATAACATCATCCGGAGCCTCAAATGATTACTACAAACTTTCATCTATGGTAGAGCATCCAACGAAAAGTTATCTTATCCAAAGACAAGAGCAAATGATGAAAGACCAAGACAAAAAATCAAAACAGCCCCACAGAAGGTACAGACTTTTCAGTTATCAATCAGAAAACTTTAAATAAAGGTGATGAATAAATTCAAGAAAGTAGAAGACAAGATACAGAATTCTAGCAGAGAATTAAAATCTATTATAAAAATTAAGTGGAGAATTTCAATTCTGAACAGGATTAAGTAGATATATTTCTCTCTATTCCTTATACTACGCATAGCAAAAACCTCATACGTTATAAAAAAACCAAAAATAAGAATACTCAGAAAGGTGAAAAGAAGGTAGACAAGCTAGGAAGCTCAGGATCTGAAGAATAACATGGAAGTGGATTCCCTGGGTTTTCTTTTTGCTTCATATATCCCATAATGGGTGCTGGAGAAGCTAAAAACCCAGAAATACCAAAGGGTACAGACAAGAAAAGTCCAAAGGAAAGCATTCTCTCTCTAGACAAAGGACCAGGAAACAAGTAGCCTAGCAAGACAGAATACTTTTAGACAATAATTGCACTACTCCAGAAAAATGCCATAGGAAAAACTGAGGTCTGCCAGCAAAGGCTGAGTGGGGAGCCTAGACTTCCACCCTCACCTGACTGTAATAAAGCACCCCCTTCCCCATGCCTGGGCAGAGTCAAAGAAGGCCAAGTGGGGAGCCAGAATTCTCACCATCGCACAGTCATAACAAGACCTCCTTGTAGTGCTGGGGGGTGGGGGACCACACGGAGAGCAGTGACAAGGCACCCCCCACCTGGGGTATCAATAAAGGCCAAGGGAGAACCTGAACTTCCACTCCCACCTGAAAGTGGCAAGGCGTTCCCTGCCTCCCCTACCAGCACAGTGTCAGAGAAAGTCAGCTTAAACAGAAGACATAAATAAGATCTAGAGTCTCATAATACCTAAAATATCCAGGATACAAATAAAAACCACTTTTGATGAAAAGAAACCAGAAAATTCCAACTTGAATGAAAAAAGACAATCAACAGATCCCAACATCAAAATGACACAGATGTTGGAATTATCTGTCAAAGATTTTAAAGCAGCTATAATAAAAGTAGTTTAATGAGCAACTTCAAACTAAGAACAAATGATAAAAAGTGTCTCAGCAAAGAAATAGAAAGTTCCAGCAAAGAAATGGAAGATACATAATGAGGAACTGAATGGAAATTTTAGATCTGAAAAACACAATAATTGAAATAAACTTAGCAAATTGGCTCAACAGCGGAATAGAGGGAACAGAGGAAAGACATGAAAGGTCTTCAAAAAGTTCATGGAAAGATTCATATTATCTTTCAACTCCATTTTTCCACAAACTTTTTGAAGTACACTTGCACTTGCCTGTCATGAACCTGAAGACGGAATAGTAAATATTACCCAATCTGAACGATGGAAAATAGACTGAAAAAAATTTTTGCACAGCTTCAGGGATATGTGAGACTTTAACAAAAGATCTAGTATTCATGTCATCAGAGTCCCAGGAAAAAAAAGAGGAAGACTATGGAGCAGAAAAAATATTTCAAGAAATAATGGCTGAAAATTTCCAAAATTTGGCAAAAAACATAAACCTAAGATTCAAAAAGCTGAGCAAACCCCAAACAGGATAAATCCAAAGAAATCTACACTGACACATCATCAACTTCTGAAAACTAAAGAAAAAGAACGATTCTTGAAAGTGTTGGAGTGAGCAGGACTGAAGCCATGTTGGGACCTAAAGCTGCCTGGGCTACGGAGGGGGGAGGATTTTTAAAAGGACAGTTTTTTTTCTCTCCACTCTGGCTTCCTATCCCCTGACTTTCTCATCTGACTTGCTAAGTAGGAAAACAAGGCCAAGAAGCTAATTACTACTTTGCAAAGCTAACAGTTCTGTCTTTGAGACTTGTAGAGTTTTGAGAAATGATCAAGGCCAAATGACTGAAGCTGACCTTGGGCACCAGCCAAGTACACCGGCGCAAATCAAAATATTGCAGGGTCCTGAGATAACAGTGAAGATGAAAACAGAAACCAGATGAGGCTTGGAAAGACCTTGTACCTGACCACAGAAACAGACCCCTCGTAACTCAGATCTCTTTCTGTCCTGCTTTTCACCTCCCACATTCTACTCCCTCAACAGTTCCTTTACAAACCCCTCAGTAAATGTAAATCTTTGAGATGGGGTAGCCTACCATCTCCTTCAGCTGAATACATCTGCTTTTCTAACACCAACCATTTGACTTCTGAGTTTTTCTTTCCTTCTCAAAGGGGCAGGAAGCCAGGTAACAAAAGCGGTAAGAGAGAAAAAATACCTTAGTTGTAGCATAAAACAATTCAAATGACAGCCAATTTCCCATCAGAAATTGTGGAGACCAGAAGGAAGTGGAACAACATTTTTCAACTGCTGAAAAAAAGAAATTGTCAACCCCAGACTCTAAATCATCAACAATGTCCTTCAGAAATGAAGGGGAAATAAAGACACTCTCAGATAATGAAAAACTGATAGAATTTGTCACCAGCTGATCTCAAAAAAAAAAAAAAAAGGCTGAAGGAAGTTCTTGAAACGGAAAAGAGATGATAAGAGAAAGAATCTTGGAACATCAGAAAGAAAGAAAGAGTAAAATATGGGTAAATAGAGTAGGCTCTTGAATTCTGTAAATTATATTTGACAGTTGAAGTAAAAATTATAACATCGTCTGATGTGGTTCTTAGTAAATGTAGAGGAACTATTAAAGACAATTATGTCATAAATGAGTGGGGAAAGGATTTCCCGGGAGGTAAAGTTTCTACACTTCACCAGAACTGGTAAAATGAAAGCACCAGTAGAGTGTGGTAATTTTTGTGTCTACAAAGGGTGGGTTTGGACAGCAGATTTCAACAGGTTGAGGGGTCAGGTTGGGAGCATGTGGAGCAGTTAGCACGCACCTTTTAGTTTTGGTGGCTGAAAAGGAAAGGGGGCTGGGACCATAACTACTGTAGACACAGGGACAAGCGGGCAGGGGAGAAGAGTGCTTATGCCAAAGAGAGCGGAAGGTGGAGCACAGGGAGATGTGGGATGAAGGGATTGGTCTTGGGAAGAAAAGAGCTTCTGGCTCTGAGAAAGGAAGAGGCTGGGTGAGGATCCACAGTTGAGAGAACGTGAGGGAAACGGCGAGGGTTCTGTCTGAGGATGACGCGCCTCTCAGTCAAATAGGCACCTGCTGAGAGAAGGGATAAGCCGAGATGAAGGAGATAAGGTTTGGGGCGCGAAAAGCGGGTATGAGACACTCAGGGAGTGTCAGGAGCTGAAGCTGAAGCTTTCAGTCTCGCTGCTCAAACGCTGTAAAATAACGAATGGACCACACGGTGGCGGTGTCTGTGGAGGCTCGCGTATCCCATAGGCCCAGGCGCCCAAGGCGGAAGAAGGCGGGAAGTGCCTCTCTGGCCCTCATCGCGTCTACTCTCCTATTACGACTGACGTTGGACAACAAAGATGGCGGCAGGAACCAGCAATTACTGGGAAGGTGAGGGAGAGGCCTCCGGGTGGGCTCCGCGAGGGGCGGCGGGGCTGAGTGAGTTCGGGTGTTGGGGGAGGCAGTAGAGGAAAGACCAAGGCTCCGGCGCGGCCGATCTGAGGGTAGAGCTTGCCTATGGGAGCCCCAGGGCCTGGGGGCTGAGGAGACCGAACGGTCTGGGGCAGGGCTGGCCTAACCGGGCCTTGTGAGCCGGACCTGGGATGGGGGGTTGGCAGAGCGGACAGAGCGGGGAGGGAAAGGGACCTGAGTCACCGGCGTAGAACTGCGTTGAGTGGGTAGTGGAACTCGCACGAAGGGGCTTGGGTTCGAACTCGGAGGGGAAACGAGTGTTGAGCAGGAAGAACCAGAGCCCGGGAAACTGGAGGAGTCAGCACCTTGGAGTTGAGGTTACTGTTGGAAAACTGAATGGGAAAAGTGAAAGGAAAAACTTGTCGGTCCGGTCCATTGGGCGAAGTGTGAACGGAGTGTCTCCTACTGGCTCCGCATGGCAGCCTCAGACTGGGACTTCGAGAAAATAACTCCCTTCTGCTGTGGAGTCTAGGATGGGTTTTGTTAAAAAGACAAGTCGAGAGAACCAAGTGTGAATTGAAATTAATCCATCTGCTATACCTCTGTCCCCAGAAAACCTTCTTGTGATTTGACAAGTGCATTTTTTTAATTCCTGTAGCTCTGGACCGGTAAAGTGAGGTCATGTAAAACTCATTCCTGGACCCTGATATCAACAAAGATGACAGAAGGCTAACCTTTTTCTTTGAACTGTCTCTTTGCTTTACTGCAATATAGAAACTTTCTCTTTCCTCTTCTGACCTGTTTCCTGTTGCTACCCACCGAAGCCACTGGAAACCACAGTATTGTCACTATCAGCCACTTGGTCTTAGAAACTTAATTCTAAGTTTATCCATACTTGCCTGTCATACTTTCAAAATGCTTTTACTTGATGTTTCTGTTAGGAAAGACAGTTACTAAAATTACAGAGAAATGTGCTTATAGTTTAAAACACGTATTAAAATGCCCATTTGAAATATATGTACTAGCTAGAAAACATCCTTAAATTATTTAGAAGTGGCTACTGGTATCTTTAATACTAGTCATTAGGCTATGGTTTTTGAAGCACTACGCTGTAATAAATGCACCAGCTCATTATTGACAACCTACTCTGAGCCAGCTGCTTTAAGCATATGATTACTAATGCATACAGAAACCCTGAAGGCAGGGTTTAAAAAACAAAAAGCTGAGGTTCATAGGCTAAGTAGATTGTTTATAAATCTGAGTCAGTAAGTGGCCGAGTTGAGATTTGAACTGGGATTTGGTCTCTGGGCAAATGTGCTCCACTATGTTACTCTGCTTCCCACTTGTGGTTGCACAGTATATTGAAATAATTTTTTGTATTCCTGAAAGAGATTATCATCACCTTTTCTTCCTATATTTCGGCCCTTTTATTTTAAAGTCCACTTCACCATGAATGAGAGGACTGACATCTATGTGTGGGTTTCCAGACTGTGGCTTCTCCTACTCGACCCCTTAGATGCCAAAGTACTATACCATTTTCTCTGCTTGCTTTTTTGTTTCTGTTTGGAAATTCCAGTGCTTTTATTTCTGAAATACTCATATTTGACCTCGTTAGTAACACATTGTTTATTGTTGGTTTCAGCTTCTCCAAATATCTTTCAGTAAGTTTATTAAAAGTTAATTTTAAATTTTTATTAATGATAATTTCTTTTTTCTCTTTTTCTTTATTTTGGGGGGGGGTGCAGCTGGCTGGTACAGGGATCTAACTCTAGAGCTTGGTGTTATGAGCACCACACTGTAACCATCTGAGCTGACAATCCAGCGCTTATTTTTTCTTTATGCTCGATCACTAAGTCATTTTACTATTATGAGAAGAATTTCATAAGCCTAATAAAGCTTTGGAACATTAAAAAACAGCAAAATCCCTGTCAAAAACAGTGTTGGCCTCTTTCTTATAAAGTAGCTGGTAGATTGATGTGCTGGTCATAAGCCATATTTAGTTCCTCTGTGGTTTGTATTCTCATTTTCCTCTGAATTATAAATTTTAGTTATTGCTATAGAAATAATTTCAGGGATGTTAGAACAACATTTCTTGTCTAGCTATCTTTGGAATAAAGCTGAAAATTTCCATCTCCCACCGCTATTTCCTTCTTGCCCTATTTGAAGCTTAAATAAGTGATTAATTTGCTTTCCTGGGTAAGTCATTAGTTTTCTCCTTTTAGCACTTTTCTTTAGGGGGGAACTGAATCAGTATATGATCATTTTCATAGTTTGTTTTCTTCAGAATACTCTTATGATTGTCATGTCTACTGATGTACTTTTGTATCTAATTATTTGCTTTTATAATTTTGTTAAAGATCTCAGGAAACAGGCTCGACAGCTGGAAAATGAACTTGACCTGAAACTAGTTTCCTTCAGTAAACTATGTACAAGTTACAGTCACAGTAGTTCCCGAGATGGAAGACGCGACAGGTATAGGTACTACCAGATTCTGTCTCTTATACCTTAAAATATGTAATGTTTTTAAAGCATTAAAGAAAATAAACTAAAGTATATAGGCTCTGTAAGTTGTCTGTTGATGAATTTTTGGTGTTTTATTTTCTTTGTCATTGTTTTATTTCTTAGTGACTTATTAAAATTCTTCTTAATTCTTGAAAGTAGCATTTATTGGGAATCCTTAAGCAAAGAACATGACAGTGTCAGAAGGAAGCTTCTAGGGCTTAAGAATGAGTTTGTGTTTAAAATAAAAGTTTCTAGTTCAGCCAGTGTAAGGAAAGGTGGTTGATTTGCCCACATTGTATTTCTTTTGTTTCCTAATTGCTGAATGGATCTGAGGAACTACCCAAATGCAAAGTATACTGCTGTTCTGGTGTTTATTCTGTTAGAATGAATCTAATGCAGTGTATATGCTCCCTGTTAATCATTGAGCTTATTTTTAATTTTCTTACTTTTTTGAGAAACTAGTATATTACTATATTGAACATGTAGAAAATCTATTCTTATCTTTAAATCTTATGCTCACTTTGTCACTCACTCGTTTAAAAAAAAATTAGTAGATATTCAAAACACTTAGAAAGGTATAAAGAATAATATAATGTACACCTATGTGCCTATCTACTGTTTTTCAGAAATAATTATTACTGATTCAGTTGAAGCCCCTGATGACATCCCACTTTCTCCCTCTACATAATTGCCATATATTTTTACTATATGTGTTTGTATTCCTATGCAGTTCATAGTATCCTACCATAGTTATCGTGAAACTTGCTTTTTTGTTTAACATTATCTTTGAATTTCAGCTATAGATATATTTAACTCTGGCATATTCATTTACTATATACAGTATTATATTGTATGACTGTATCACAGTTTAACAATTCAATAGATGGACATTGTTTCTAATTTTTTTTTTTTTTTTTACTGATTACCAATAATAAGTTTAATAGCTGACACAGTGTATTCATCTTAGGTACTGTTTTAAGAATTTATATAAACGCTGCTAGGAACATTTTTACACAGAATATTTCGACAAATATATACCTAGCAGTGAAAATGCATGTAGTAGAGTTGTTATTTGTTAATCTCTTATTTTACATACTCTTTTGAAGATTAGTGGTAGAAGAAATATTTTTCAGCTAATAATAAAAACTGAGCTTGGATTTGAACCTAAGTCTTTCTATCTCCAGAGTCCATACTCTAAACCCTACTATATTGTGCACATTCCAGCAAAAGGCTCATTTCAACACTATAGCCAAAGTATTTTTAATTTCTAAGAAGGGCACACTGGTTGTGAATATAGCAAGGCCAACAGTATTGACTCTAGGACCTCAAAATAAGTTATTAGCACCTCACGTAGATTTCATTACAGTGCATTGCTTTTGGCTCTCCTTTATTCAGCAAGTAAAGAAAATGAGGCATGTTCTTTTCAATGAGTAAACTTATTTTATGATTGGAAAGGATTTTTCCTGAATTTAGATCTCCCACTTGGTTATGCTGGTTAGTATAGTTTTAAAACTCTTGTTTGGGGCCAGCCCGGTGGTGCACTCGGTAGAGTGCGGCGCTTGAGAGCGCGGTGGCGCTCCAGCCGAGGGTTCGGATCCCATATAGAGACCGGTCCGCTCACTGGTTGAGCGCAGTGCGGGCACAACACTGAGGGTTGTGATCCTGTTACCGGCCACGAGAAAAGACAAAAAGGAAAAAAAATAATAATAATTAAAAAAAAAATAATAAAACTCTTGTTTGTTAAGAGATACTATTCCAAGATGTTTTTTCTATGTTCTCTGAGCTTCATGCGCTTAAAATACTTTTGTTAGTCCTTTAAAGGAAAAACTATCCTGAAAACATGCCCTAAGAAATTCTATTACAAATTGGGACTGACTTTGTAGAACTTCTTCAGCCTAACCGTCCCTTTAAATAAAAAACCTAAGGCCATGACAGTCAAGATCCAATGTGCATTTTATTTTATTTATTTATTTTTTATTTGTTTGTTTATTTATTTTTTTAAAGATGACCGGTAAGGGGATCTTAACCCTTGGCTTGGTGTTATCAGCACCACGCTCAGCCAGTGAGCTAACTGGCCATCCCTATATAGGATCCGAACCCGTGGCCTTGGTGTTATCAGCACCGCACTCTCCCGAGTGAGCCACAGGCCGGCCCCCCAATGTGCATTTTAAAGCATTATGTTTGATCCCCAGGTTGGAAACATGTCACAATGAATGAACTTAAGTGATGACCAGAATTTTTCTTCCAGGAATCTTTTTTTTTTTTTTTTTTTTTTTTTTTTTTTTTTTTT